TTACAACCCTGCGGCGACAGATATTTTGTTGAGCGCGGTCTTTCTGTGACAAATGAGTTTGTGAATGGTATTTTAGCCACATGGACAACGCTGAATTGCCGCAAAACTAGCTAATGGTCATTTTGACAATCCCCTTATTTTGTTTTCTTCCCAAAAACATTATTGTCCTGCCGTTAATTGCCTGCTGTATGCGGTAAAAGCTCCGTACACTCAGTGGGTGAATAGTCATCGATTTGAATGAAAAGGACAGCGTCTGTGTGTGTGTGTGTGTGTGTGTGTGTGTGTTTCTGTGTCCGCGCGCGCGTGTCTGTCAGAGTACGCGTGTGACGGTGTGACCGCATATAAAATAATGTATATGAGGGATGTATATATTGCTTGTCTTGTCCGTTGTAATTTGTAATTTTATATGCAATCTCTGCAATTCAGGGAGCCTTATCTTGCTCCAAAGTTTGCTTTCGGTGTCATGAATAAGGAATAAAGTGTATGTGGCAGGAATACCAAAACAGCCACCTCACATATCGTCTTACGTAGCCTTTTGCTAAGCGTCAAGGGACTTAATGACTGGACATTTGCCGACGCGACATGCCATCACCCTAATGGAAGATCACAGGCGGCTTGTGCTCCTTAATTAATGCCTTGTGATTTCTTTTGAAGCAAAAAGGAAGTCATCTCTAAGAAAAATCATTGCGACATTGGGTCAGTAGGGATCGGACCCGCCCGAGGCTAAAGCCTGACTTGGTTACGTAAAACAAAAGGAAGCTTTTCCCTGGGCTCCACTAGTTCTCTGTAAACATGATCCTTCATGCAGACCATAAGAGGACCAAGGCATTTCACAGGTCACAGAGAGGCCATGTGTAGAACAACAAGCCTGCTTTTAGAAATACTAATGGGTGGAATTCTTGAACCAATAAGTCCTCCGCAATTGTACATGGCTTTACAGAAAACAAGAGTGGGCTTGAATGTTTGAGGTTTGAAACTGGCTGAGTGTAATCAAAAGTCCCTAAATGTAGAGTAGCCTTTTTTTAGCCAGAAAAAAAGGTATCTTGGGCGAGCCTGCCTGTCCAAGAAGGGCTGCTGTTATTTCTTTATAGCGTCAAATACTTGTTGGTAGAAAAGCACAGCTGTGCAAGCCGACTTGCATTGTCCTAGTTGACATCTGCTCCAGTCGTGCTTTCAAACCACTTCTCGTCTAATTTGCTGGCCACAGCTGATGACATACGTGGTCGACGTGCAGATGTATAATTTAAGAAAAGGAGGCTTGAAAGAGTCGCAGGTGGTCTGTTTTTGATCATTCTGATTCTGATCTAGGTCAGAAAACCCATGTAACTAAAGCTGCAACCCTTTGTAAAGGTTTGGCCACTACAATTGTTGAAAACGCCCCGGACTGAATTTATTTTTCCTTTTGGCGCGGTCACATTTATCCTAAGCTGCGGTCGCGCTAGGATTTTGATGCCGTAGGATTATGAAGCAGGCTGTGACAGAACCAGCCGTCGACAAGGATTTAAGACACCATTTTCTGTAGATAAAAAAGAGAACTGAATTCTGACCGACACATTTACGACTGACCCACTAATACCCTCAGTTAATGATCATAGGACGGCTGTACATGTATCACGTAGGCAGCCAGACACTTAGTAGAAATCTTTCTTCGGTGTATTAATGATTATAAAGGGAATACTTTTATAGGTCTATACCCGGTAGAACATTCACCCTTTTTTCCTGGCGGTTGGTCATTGGAAGTTCTGTGTTCTTGAGTAACATAATATGATGCCAGCAATTTAAACTGTTGTCAAGGGAACTACTAATCATAAGCAAGGCAACATTAGGACTTTTCACCCTGCACACTACTGAATATAAACCTGAGCATTGCATACCGCAACTAGAACTTCCAGACATGGTACCTGACCCATGGAAACTTTCTCTTTCTCACAGATTTTTCTCCCGAGGTTTTAACAGCATCATAGATAGTTCCAACCATATAAAAACTAATTTCTGTCAGGAGATTGGAAATCATAATCAAATAAAGTGGATCTCAGATTCATCTACTTTAAATTATAGGAGCTGACGTGAAAGGATATTAAAAAGCCTGGGGCTTTGGAGCCAGATAATTCTTTCCCACTTTGGGTGCTATTAGATAAGCCTGTTTCACCAACCATACCATAATAGGATTAACAGTGAATAAAATGCACATTGTCGGTGATGGGAAAGAAATCCGCTTTGACGTATATAAAGGAGGCATGGACTTATGAACTTAAACATCTTGCAATTCTAACGTTTCTATACTGCTGTTTCTAAAACACCACAAATTTAGCTTGCTTTATATTTTGATCTTGTAAAGGCAGAAATTCTAAACCTAAATCTGCTTACGCCCTTCCAAGTTGTGGAATATTTTGCCTTAAAGTCATCATTTCTTTATATGTTCTTTATTGCCGTATGTAGTTCCTATAAAACACGCTTTGTCTAGGCATTAATAGGGAACAAAACCATCACTACCTATGGCACAGAAAATTCTCATGACCAATCGTCAGTCAAAAATATGATGACTTGAACTACAAGTTTCATGCACGGGAAAGTCATGCTTGAAAAATATCAAATTTACAATCTAAAATATTTGAGCAACACCAAACATGAAGCTTACGATACAACCTTTTTTTACGGACGCCTACCTTTGGGCGACTCCAACAGCTTGTCTGCACCTTTGCCCAGCGATGTCTTCCGACTGGTCCGCGGATGCTGGCAGAAGACCGGCTTATATTCCCTAACCACAAGACTTGGCTGTACGTCAAAATGTTTTCAAAAAAAAAAACAAGGTAGGCGTGGAGGCGGGGAGGAATATGATTACAGGCCGTACTGTCCCGGATGAAGAAGTAGACACGGCAGCAGCAGGTCCACAGAACCTCTGAAAACAGGAAACTCGCGTAACAACCAATTACAGAGCGGCCTGCTCCTAACGTCAAACTCTCTTCAGTACCTCTTCATTCCTACTTACAGAGCTCTGCAGAGGAGTTGGTTATCAATTAGCGTGGAATTAGTCATCTCACGTGGAGGGAGAAGAAATTAGAAGCGTCTTGACTTCAACAGCTCCCTCGTGATTCAGACCATTGCCAGCAAAAAGGTATTGAAGTTAAATGCTACGTTTCAAGCTATTGATACACCTTCGGGTTGGAAACAAGAGCTGTTGCGTACGTAACTCACCCTGCGTCATAAGACACGGAGAAATTAAAGGCGTTTTGACGTGGATGGCTACCTCGTGATTTAGACACCCCCTAACAAACAGGTTTGGACGTTGAACACTACTTGTTAGGTTTAATGTAATTGATGTGCACTTGTGGATATGATAGACTCCGGCTAACCTCAAATAAACGTTCGTGAAAACGATACCAAGTACATCTATAGTGATGTGCCAAGAAATCCAATCGAAGAGCCCTGAGCTCTTTCCTTCTTTAAGAGAGTACTTATCCTCCTTCTTTAGAAAGTAGTTAAGAAGCATGTGAGGACACACCCTTTCCAGGTACATGTTTGGAATTTTCGACCGTTTACCTCTAAGCCAGGGAACTGGTCTAAAAAAAGAGAACTACCAATAGGAGCTCAGGATTCTTTGTCACTGTGAATATCAGACCAATCGGAGCACGGGATTCACTGTCACCATGAAAACCAGTCATCACAGCCTCCATCACCATAGTTTTCACTCCGACAATAGTTCCATGTTAGCACATGCGCATAAATTAATTAAAAATGGATTAGTATCTCCCCACCACTCCTGACATAAAGCTGTTGGCCATCAGGCGTCTAACTGCCTGATCAATGGAACGACTGCTATAAAGGCGTGATTTTATACCCAGTTTGAATACAATACATTCACACGACTCGATTTTTGGAGCCAGTTAAAAAAGACAACACGGCAAGCCTTGTAGAAGGATACATTAACGTTTTACCTACATATAGGCATGTTGTTTATGCGTCTTTGCATCTGCACAGCTTGCTTTTGAGAGCACACTCAATGTAAATTCGGGTCAGTGCCGTTGTACAGACTCGTGACCGATCTACCAAGGGTCGCTGCGAGAAAGGGGCCTTTCTGTAACCCTGCTCTTTGCCTAGTACATGTCGTCAATTAACTTGCGGCTGAATGAAAGTATCGTTCCTGTATGTAGTAGTCCATGTATTTCTTTTACACTACGTATGGGACATAGAATTCAAACCATTTCTGTGTCTGTATCTGTAGAGGCGGTACAACCGCCCCTTGGCGCATTACGTTAACCCACCAGCTCCGTTTACTTATCAAAATATTAGAGTTCAAAAACTCGTATTTCCCAAGAACTATGATCGTAGAGTGGAACTCGTTGTCACCAAGCACAGTTGGGGCATCGTCACTAGAAAGCAACTCCTGCAATTAAATGTGCAAAGATTGTGTGTAACAAGTCGTTCGGTGTGATATAGCTAGCTGCCGCCGCGCCGCTTGGCTGCCAAGCTGGTGTGTTACGTCGAAGGGCGGCCATACCGGCTATACTGATACAGAAGCTGGTGTGTTACGCCGAAGGGCGGTTATAACGGCTATACTGATACAGATAAAATCCACTTACGCTTAATTATGTCATATCACTACATCTCGAAAAACAGGTGATACATTCAGTATAATTTTGAACGATCAAAATCGTGACTTGAATGTAGAATGATGGAATGAATTCATATCTGATAATTATGATATGACAAAACGTAATGAATCTGTAGATGTCTTTTATGGAATTGTAAAAAGATTTGGAATTCTGGGACCCCAATCAGAATTCCACAGATGCTTGCAAATTGGCTGAGATTCCATGTTCTTTACTATCTAAGACCTCGGGTGTTTTGAAAATAATTCAATATTCGTAACCTGATTTTAATTCAGACAACTGTACATCTCCATGCCGTTGCTGGTGGGTTCTCTGCTGGCCCAATCGGTGGCCTGTACATCCGTGTAGTACGGGACACCTGTTGCCGTTGTTAACGTTACTGACACATGTTTCCTGATGATAGACCAGCCTGAATAAAACCGTTGTGATATCCCGGATGTGAAGGAGCGTGCACTGACGTCATCACCTTTGGCAAGCGCTGAAGAATATTCATGGCGACTCTAAACTCCTGTCCTGGTACGGTTTTGTATTGTGTAGTGTGAAGTGATGCGCTCTAGATCTTCACTGTGGACACGGTGATGTGTTCAGTTTCAGTGGTGTTGTGACACGTTGTATACACACTATGACTAGTACAACTCACTGATGCACCGAAGTGTATTTCATTCAATAATAATTTTTATCGTCTGCTCAAAGATGCATAAGAGAGCAGGTCAACCTGCTAGCACACAGCATGACAGCCGTATCCACATTATTCCCGTCTAAAACTATTATTCAGAATTTGGTCTTTTGTGTTTGCTCAGTGCATGGTGTTTTCCCATGAACAAAAGTCGGAACAGAATTCCCATCAGAAACGGTGAAGCAAAGACCAATTATATCGTGTTAAATGGGATAGTTGGCACTCCACAAGTTTTTGAAGAATTCTGTCAACTCTTCCCAACTAAGGTTAGGTCAAGGTCGGCAAGTGTAAGAATGCTTCGGGTGTAGTGAGTGTAAGCGTAGCTTCTGGCGTGGTTGGCAGTCAAATTTGCCTCAAATTTAACTCACATTAGCTTCGAGTGATAGCAAAAGGTAGGCCTGGCCTAAATCTGGTAAGACTGCTCCGGAACTTTTGCCAACCTTGGTTGGCTGGTGTTCTTAATGTGTGACGTGGGCTTAAAGTAAGGTAACTGTAAAATGCATGTAAGGATGTCATTGACCAATGACATAATCCCTAGCGGGCAGTTTCCCATTACTGCCATAGTGCACTCTAGTAAGAACTTATAATTGGTACAACTTCACTCCAAGGTCTTGTAGTGCCCCGTAGGGTCTTAGAAACCGGAGGTACCTGAGGAAGTACCTTTCATTTATTCTTTTCATCAGAACATAGGGGTAATGTCACGACATTTGCTTCTCTCTGACGAATTGCTCCCGGGCAAAGTCGTCCGTTCTGTCTGAAAACAACTTAGTATATGAAAACATCTGTTATTCCCTCCTGGTTGTGGTTTACCTTGAACAAAACCTTGTGAAATAACATAGACGCAAATCGGTGAATCCAATTTTACTCCTTCTCTTTTCCCCATGATGTTTGCAGGTTCAAACTTGTTGCGCTCCCTTGTTTGGTTGTTTGAACGTGACAACCGCCCCGCAGAACATCATATTTCAACGTTGTTATTCTAGTAGTGCCTTTTATTACAGCCCGGCCTTTGACTTGACTGTGGCAAGCGGGGCAGCACTGGTGACACCCGGGCGCGTTAATTATCCTCTCGGCAATCCATGCACCTAGAGGCGGCGTACATGTAGGTCAGGTACCCGGGGAGCGTATAGTACCCAGGGGCAGCTCAACTTTCTTCAACTTCTGTACTGTTGTACCTGCACCGGACCTGTCACCATTTCCTTAATGGGAGCTCGTCCAAGAAATTTTCTTCAACTTTGTAAACGCTGACGTATGTCCGACAGTAACCTTACTTCAAGTCGCTTACTTCTAACGGTTTCTGACGTCGTCAGGAAATAACAGACCTATGCGTTCGCCATATATATGGTGGTGGTGTGTTCTTGATTTAAGATTGAGATTTGAAATTGGATGTTTAAAGTAACTATAGCATTTATGATGTAGATAATTAGATCCTTTCCCCGCCTTTTGGTGTATAGGGCAGTGTTTATCTACGTTTATATGTATGCTTTTCATATGACACTTCACGAGTTGGCGCCATATTAGATTACAGTGCATGTCTGTTAAACGTGCAGACATGACCACATACCCACCAACACGAGTTGGAGTTTGTTGCTTGCAGGATATTGAGATAACCATTATGTCAATGTGAGGCCTCTGAGCCACGCTTTTGCAATGATTATAGCTGGGGACCAGTCTCCTAAAGACGTTAGCCTCAGACGGTAAAAGAACCCAGCACAATTATTAGAAGAATATGGGTGCTCCCGTGTGCTTGGCTTAAGAAAACGCGAGCAGGACTGTATTAAACTACAACGTGTAGCTTTTGCTTCGCCTTACATGCAATGGTTACTGTACAGATCTGGTAGCCTTGAGACGTATTTACCCAATTATTGCATTTCCCTCACTTTGAGCAAGGATTTAGCACTTACCATTCAAGAGTAGCTCTACAACCAGGAAAGACGTGTTTGACAAACTGATCTGGGACCTTTGAACTTGGTACTTTTAGCCTAATGGTCTGCTTCCCGTCCTATATAGGGTTGTAATGCTGTCTTCGTTAGGCGTATGTTGGCAGTCACTCCATGGTGCATGGTGAGTCTACACGTATATAAGTATACTGGCGACAAACTAATGATTTGAGCATAGGAAAAATGTCTTGGTATGAACACCATAGTTTCTTTCCGTTTCCATTAGAACGTATTTGTTACGTAATTGAGTACATTTAAAAGGATACTTGTACAAATAGTTTAATATTCAGCCAAAGGAAAGCAACTGAGTGTGATAAGAAGTTTTCAGACTTCTAGGAAGTGGTTTGGGCATCCATGAATACTGGAACTGTACTGTAAGATCATGAGTAAATGCCGGATTAAACTACATCACTTCGGTATTACACCATGGTTTAAGTTTTATACTATGATTACACATTACTGACGATCTCATGCCACCTCCTGCCACCCAAGGCATACGCACATATACCTGGTCACAACCCTGTCAATCAACTGAATCCCAATCTCCGCCCATGCCCCCAATCATAAAGTAGAAAGAAATACAAAATCCAG